CTCAGAAATTCATTACAAAGTTGCGTGGATAATAATCGTGGTAAGAGAAATGAGAAAAGAATAAACAGTGGAAGGAGGGAGAACCTTAGAAAGATGTATACCTGTATGACTTGTCACAGTGGTAGTTGTAAGGTGATCTTGTAAAATTCTTGTATGGTACTATGATCAATATATTGGTGCACAAGCACGGAAGTTATCTGCCATCGTTGGTCATCAATTGAGAAAAAACTAGGCTTGTGTTAATCTCCGAACTACCATTACCATCATTTCCCTCTGTTCTTACATTGGTAGACGGATCTCCAGGAACGATGCTGTTCGTTAGAGGCTCGTTGATATCGCAGCCTTGAGGCTGTTCTCCACGCGGTCGAGATTCCTGAAGCTGAAGCGCGTATTCTAAATTCCATAATACATCACCCATGGTTGGCCTATCCGCACCATATTCAGCCAAACATTTCTCTGCCGTTTCTCCAAACTTTTTCAAAGAGCTTGGTTTGATCTTCCCAACAAGGTGGCGATCAATAATTTTCTCGAGCATGCCCTTTTTCTGCCATTCCAATGCCCATTCACCTAGATTCACCTGCTCCCTGTCAACTGAGGGATCCACAGCAGGTCTCGCGCAAAGAACCTCAAAGAGCACAACCCCAAATGAATACACATCTGACTTATCAGTAAGCTGCTGCCTCCGGAAATACTCAGGATCAAGATACCCGAAACTACCTTTCACAGCGGTACTTACATGGGTTTCACTGAGACACGGACCTGATCTTGAAAGACCAAAATCAGCCACCTTAGGTACATAATTCTCATCAAGCAAAATGTTAGTTGATTTAATGTCACGGTGGATGATTCCTTGAGCAAAACCTGTATGAAGGTAGTGAAGACCTCTTGCTGATCCAATGCATATTTCAAGCCGTTGCTTCCAGGATAAAGGTGGAAACCCAGAACCATACAAATGTTTCTTCAACGGCCCCTTTTCCACGTATTCGTAAACTAGGATCATTTCAGACTGTTCTTCACAATACCCAACAAGTGATACAAGGTGGTGGTGGCGAATTTGGGACAAAACCGTGATTTCAGTCTGGAATTCTGGAAGGCCCTGCCTAGATCCAGGCACACCTCTCTTCACGGCAACCTTTGTGTTGTCCTTCAGGACCCCTTTGTAAACCATGCCAAAACCACCAGAGCCTACAATTAGACTTTTATCGAAATTGTTTGTCGCCAACTGTAATTCAGCAAAAGAGATTTTCAGGAAATGATATCCATTTGTGCCTGGAGACACAAGTGTAGTCCTTTCAGACGTTCTACTGTTTGAACTACCTCCATATACATGTAAAGGTGTCCAAACGGCACTTTCTGCAGGTTGGGGTTTCAGTTTCTTCTTCCTGCGTTTCAAAGCAAGCAGAAATACACCAATTGCAAAACACAGAACAACAAAGCCTCCAACAACTGTGGCCACCAAAATCCATATACTTCTCTTCTTACGCCCAGTTCCAGCCCGTAAATTGGAAGCATTCACCATTTTCATGATCTCCGCCCCATTCAATATAGCATTAATCCTCATGGAACCACTCAGATCAGAAGGACCAACACTGATATCTATCATCCCCGAACTATCTGAATCCACAACAAAATCAATATAGACAGGAGATGCAAGCACGTTGGTTGCCAGCACTGATAGATCAACATCTCTATACGCAGCATACCCGTTGATATACACATTAAAGTACAACAAGTTAAGTGCAGGACTAACAATGTCACAGAAGTGCAACCTAACCAAATGCCCGGAATTCGTATTAACGGGAAATTTCCATGTGAGATTAAACTTTGCACCTGTAATTGCCTTATCCGTATTCATCTCCTGGGCAGTCATGTATACATTATCCGGGGCAATCTCTCGAGTTGCACCGCCCCCCTGATAATTCGGAGTATGCGTGGTGGAAGCGCGCTTCGCAGCCGATTTCAGAACAAGATAATCGACATCAGGGACCCAATCCCTCCACAAAGTATCATTAAAAGGTGTCAATTTCGAACCTCCAACATTAATCCTATAAAGGGTCTCTAAAACTTGTGAAGAAAGATTCTTGTATTCCACAACATTCGCACCCACCAATTTAGCACCGTAATCAAGAACAAGATCCTCAGGAGCTGTAAAAACTTCAATTGCATTTACATAGCAAAACCCAGAATCGCCCACAGGCGCAAACACAATTTCAACCACATCTGCATCAATTCTCATCACAAACTCTCTAATCACAGAGTCCCTAACATGTAATTCTCTCAACAGAACAAACCCATCAACTGAAACGCTAAAGTTTGCAGCTTTCAAGTCAAAACCCTGAGCTACAAACGGCGAGAAGTGAAAACGTACCAAGTGGGTCCCGGATTTCTTGATGCTGAAGGTGTAGCTCGAAGCCCTGGTGAAAACTCTGGCCGTGCGGTAGAGGGCGGGCGAACTCGGAGGTGGGTTTCGGTCGGTGAGCGAAATGGATCCCGCCGCTCCGGGTTCGTAAGGGTCCGCCGAGAAGACCCTGTTGAAGACGGAGGCGTTGGAGGGTGAGCCGCAGTTGATGAGGTAGTTATCGGAGGGAGTGAAGGAGGCCGAGAAGTGGAGGAGAGAGAGCAGGGTTAGAGAGAGAAAGTGGAGGTTAACGGCGTCCATGGAAGGTGGCTGGAGCTCATGCGAGAGTGAGGATGAGTTGGAGGAACAGAGTCACAGTGGAGTCTGACTAAAGTGGAAGTGTGACACGAATGGAGGCCTTCTGTTTGAAAATGTTTATATTATATTCAAGATTTTTCCGGACCTAACTGGATGACATGTTTTCTTCTCTTTTGACATTTTTGGCCAAAGTGGGTACAAGAATTACAGGACTTCCAGAATCCGGCAGGAATGCTGATGAGCTGCATTTTGCTGAATAATGCCAAAGGGCCCCATAAAAACTCTGTGCTTATAGATCGCACGAGTGGTTAAATAAAGACAATATCTATGCTTTAGCGGTGGACAATGGCCCGTCTCTCAGAAACTTTAACCATATATTCTTTTTCTCATGATTTAACATAGCAATGCTGCGATTTTCAAAACAAATTTTTATGTTGTACTTAAATTTTTCTGTTTAAAATCTTTGATGAGAAAACTTGCGAGATTCTACCGTGTAACCGAAACAACATCCAATTTTTTCTGCTATCACGTGATATGCATAAATTTGAGTGTTATGGATAGAGATTAGAGAGCAAGATGTGCTCCAAAGTCAACAAATAATAGAGAGTTAATTAAAAACAGCTTAGATCCAAGGCATTGAAAAGCATTGATGCATGCCAGCTCAATGGAGATGGTGTGTTACGTTAGTGTATTTTTCACCATTGCCTAAAGTCCCTACCTTTCGTATGCTTAATAAAAGTATTTCTTTTAGGTCCATAGAAATTAAGGTGTGAAAAAATACACCGCACGCGTCCTAATATAGGACTAGGATCATCTGGATGTTTTAGTTTTTTATCCCCTGCAATACTGTGCAAGGGTTCTTGTTCATCCAACAAGATCTGAGAAAAATTAAAGATGTGGCAATCCTTTAGCTGTCAGATATTGTTGGATGGACAAGATCAAAATCTTCATAGTTTGCGCACGGAAAAAAACGCTCATTATTTTTCAAAATATACTTTAAAACAATAATAATATTTAAAATAAGTAAAATTAAAAAAAAAAGTATAATAATAATAATAAATAAATAATTCAATTGTCACATGCACGCATGTGACAAAAGATTAGTATATCTATAAAGCCAAAAGACAAAAATGGTTGATCATTCATAATTTCAAAAAATACCCCTCTCTAATTAGGACAATTTAATTTAAAAAAAAAAATCTAAACTAACGGAATAAAACTACCCACGTAATAGGCAACTTTTCCTTTTAATTTTTTTAAATAAAAATATGAAAAAATATTTAAAACAAAAATAAAAAAATAACATCTGAAAAAGTAAATTACCGCACGCGTGAATGTTTAACAAGATGCTAGTGTGCTAACTAAAAAAGTTTCCAAATTTCGAACGTTATTCAATCACAGAGTGATTGGTGGTGGACCAAATTGTTGAAATTTGGATTGAGGTTGGTGGGTTGAAGTCGTTTTCTTAAGGACATTTCAATTCATAAATTGACACCTCTCACAAATAGAGCATCAAAATTTGGCTTTGCCTTACAAATTATCATTAATTTACAAAGAAAAAAAACTTGCTTAAAAGTACTAATTATAATTTTATAAGATCACAATAACACAACTATTGCTCCTTAGATGATGTCAATCATCACTAGAGACTGTTTTGGCCACATTTTGTATTGTGCCAATATAGTTTTACTTAATTTAACTCGTTTTTCTCATTACATTAGAAATACTTATTCATATTTTGAGAAATCACCCAATATCCTTAAAGGATACTTATACATAATTTTCAATTCGTCATATAAAACAAAATCTTAACCGATTTGTCATATTAATTCTTTTGAAATCATCATTGGTTATCTCACTCTAACTCTGTTAAGTTTTAAATTCAAAATAAGTCATGTGATTATGTTTAGGGCTATTTCAGACTTTTTGAGCATCTTTTCACAAGTTTTTTTATTTTTATTTTATATTAAATACAAGATATATTTACATTAGGATAGGAGAATATATTGGTTTGGGACTTTTGACCCCCTTTTTATAAGTTATCTACTTCTCTTTGGTATGAACCAAACGATTTTGGCTAGTAGACAAAATATGTCGCATTCGTTTTAAATTTTTTTTATGACATTAGGCTCACTTCAATGCCGTTAATCATGTTAGAATTGAAATGTCCGAAATACCTTTGAAATTTCATAACATGACTTATTTTGGAAGAAAAATATTATGAAGTTAGGATGAGATGACAAAATAATAATTTCGAAAAATTAATATAATAAATCAGTTAAATTATAGTTCATATAACAAATTGAAAAAAAAAACGTACAAGTTCATGTGTCTTTCAAAAATTTTCTATTTTACTTATTAATCACAACGACGTCGTTTATCTTATGCTGTTCTACTTCTATGACTCCTACATTCGCACCCGGAGCATCAGCCCAGCTTCCCTGCGCCGCATCCTATCTCGCCATATGATAATCTTCGACTCTCTCTCTCTGCGACGGCCGGCCGGCCGGATTGCTTTTGATAACTCCCGCAGGATTGCTTTGGATAACTCCCGCAGGTACCAAATTCTCTCAAAAAGTATCAATCTTTTAAATTTCCGATGCTGTACATAGGGGTTCGTCTCAGATCAATGTGTAATTTAGCTTCCCTTACCTGGTAATCTCCAAAATCTTGTAATTAGGGTTTCATATCAGGTCAACTAAAGGGGCTCTTACTGTTATTATAAATTTATTTACTTGCAGGTGCACGAAGCGTGACTCTGGTAAATTCCCGAAGATTCTTATATACTTGTTGAGTGCTGGAACTTGAAGTTGAACTGTCATCATATTCCCCTTTCACTGCAATGGTAAATTTATTTTCCAAGCCTTTTTATTTTTCTTAAACTTTTGCAGCCTGTATGTTTAGAAACCATTTTCCTGTTGAGATATGTAACGTATGATTATATGGTAAATTTACGATGCATGGACACGGTGGTATCCCTCGTATCCCCATGTCATGTCGTGTCATATCCCCGTATCTGTGTCTGTGTCCATGCATCGTAGGTTTTCTGTACTTGTGCTGATTGTTTCTGCCTTTTGGTTATTGCATTGTTGGATTTTTTAGTCTTGGTAGTTGTTAGAGCTGGAAATTGAACCTTTGAGAGGGATGGAGGGAGGGAAAGAGAGGGGGTAATTTGATGAATTGAAAAAGACTGTTTCTTTACGCTCTTGCAAGCTCTATCAAATGCAAGGCTACTTAAATGCAAAGGATTTGTCCATCTTTTTATTTCCCGTGGTACCTGCTATTTGATATGTCTTGGTGATTGTGTATGTTTGTGTGGGTTGGGGGAGATATGTATCTTTGAAGCCCCTGTTTGGGGCTACTTATGGTGATTGGTGACTCTGAAAATGGCCCTTGATTTTGTCGTTTTCTGTATGAACTGTAGACCTGAATTATGGGCCATTAGACCACTCAAAGGTGATAGGATTTTTGTATCTGCGTAACCAAGGTTTTTGCTTTGGCACTTTTTATGGCCTGAACAAATCTTTTGCACGGGAGTCTCCTTGAAAGAGATTGCTTTATGAAGTAAAAAGAGAATATAAAGTGATTACTTATTGTCCCATTATTGAAAACCATTGGTATGAACATACTATACAATCTGATCTACCTGCTGAAGTACAGCGTTACGGAATGTGGTGATGACTAATGCAGGATCCTAATGGTTCTTTTGATGAAAAGAGTGAAAGTAGAATCTACATTGGTAACCTTGATCTGAGAATAACGGAGTAAGTAAACCTTTGGAGTTGAATCTTTGTTGCTCTAGTCTAGTACTATGAGGTTATGATACTTCATATAGATCCTGCTCTTGCATTTTCCAGGGCTGCTCTAATTAAGATGTTTTCTCCGTTTGGGAAGATTATAACCGAGGACTTTCTGTGGCACACACGTGGCCGAAAGCGCGGAGAGCCACGGGGTTTTGCTTTCATCTAGTATAGCAGCAAAGAGGTAAGTCAGTCGATTGTTTTTCTATCAGTTATGTTTTCAAGCAATTCCTGATTTCCACAGTTAAAGTGAGCATGCAGGAAGCAAGATTGGCCAAGGAGAAGATGCATGGGAGACTAGCATGTGGACGCCCGCTGGTTGTCCGCGTTTCCAGTGACAAGTACTTGGTAGAACCAGCAGAGAATTCTTCCAAAGGAGTGGGCGAGGCCACCAAAACGAGCGCTTCTGGCACTAGTTCAGGACAGATGAGCCGGAGCTCCAAAATTACAGCAATCAAGAACAAATTGAAGGCTCTGGAGGAGGAGGGCTACAGCGCCAAGAAGCAGAAGCAAGAAGCCGACACATCTTTGCAATAAGAATGTTGCTTCCATCGATAAATCTGCTCAATTCCAAGTTGTAATCTTCCTACACTTGGCCCGGTTGAACATAATAGTGACAGTACAGTTGATTCAGTTTGGGATTTACAAAACTATCCCAGCTTTTGGAGTTATTTTACTGATTCAGCGGGTATAATTCAATCAAACCACCTATCTGAATCATTTCTATGTTGGTCTACCTTCAGTTCTAGCATGCGTTTTGAAACGATATGCTTTTACATGGGGCGTTCTTTGCAACAGGTATTCTTTGCAGTGTTGGGGGGTAGCGGGAGCGTATGGAATGTCATCAACACCGCGCCTGGTATCTTTTTCCTTGCTCTAGTTCAAGTAACCCTCCATCTTGCCATGGTACTTGGATTGGGAAGGCTACTTCGGTTAGTTCAAATAATCGTCCAATGTCGGAGGGCCAACGACAGCAGCGGAATGGCGAGGTCCAAAGGATGGGATTCGTTGGTTGTTCCTGCAATCCTTGCGGGCAATTTTGGAGTTGCCATTGCAACACTTCTTGGCAGTGGTTTTGGAATGATAGTCCTCAGACACTTGCAGAAAATTTGGTTTACATATTATTACTGTGTCATCTCGGCATTAGGGCGAGCTTTGGCACCATAAAAAGGTTACTCTTTTGTGATTAAAAGGTTACATATTTGAATCCTAGAAATAACCTCTTTGCAAAGCAAAAAATAAGATTGTGTACTATACTGTTTGGTACGTGGGACGGGACGGAAAAACTGTGGAACGGGTTGTCCCATGGGACGAAATTTGGTTGATTTTTCGTTCCACCTCTTCTCCCTGGAACGACCTGTTCCACATCTGTGGAACACAAATTTATAACATTTTATGACAAAATTTCTCTTTATCTTTTTCAATATTTACATCATCTGTTCCGTCCTGTTTCGTCTCATCCCGTCCCATCCTGTTCCGTCCCGTCCCGTCCCATCTTGTTCCGTCCCGTCTGCGTACCAAACGGTAAAGGTCTTCTTATTTTTTTTTTCTCTCTCGCAAAATAGGAAGCCTTATTAACTTGGAATCATCTATTTGACATTGCATAATATATTTGGTCATTTATTTTTTTATTTTCATCCAAACAGGAAAATCTTTGAGCTTAGGAATAATTAATTAATTAGTAATGAATGTTGACCAACAAAATATGGATAAAGCATTCCGACAATTAATTAAGGGAAGTGTTATTAGCACTCTAAAAATCTCATTTTACACTCCTAACAAGTGTATTTTTCTTTCCAAATATAGAAAGTTTGGAATGTAGAATGAGATTTTTGAAGTGTCAATAACAATTCTCTTAATTAAACATGGAATAAAATGAATTGAATAATGATATGGAAGTTGAATTTTTAAATTAATTATGTAAATCTAATAATGTGATAACTGATGATTGGATTATAAATTAAGTATTGATTGACATATTTTTTTTATTTTACAAATTTGATTTAAAATTTTAATCTCTAACATTACTCAAATAATAATTATTTGATGTGACAATCACATTTTTACATGGTATTATCAGTCTAGCAACGTTGTAATACGTGTATCTGTTTATCATATCCAAAAAACATGATTAATGTACTGATCTTGTGTTTATGTCAACTATTATGGTGTACGACCTGTACTACACGGCTCGAATGCAGCCATTGTCAACCGTACTTTCATTACCCCACAAAAAAAGTCTACTCTTCTCTCTAATCTAGTAATGTTGCATGTGGCATATTCCATATGGTCATACAGAAACCAGGATATAATTGAAATTTTAATATTCAAATTAATTTATGGCCGCTGGATAATATTTCATTTTCAGTTTTTTTTTAAAACTGAAAATTGAAATCTTATTTGATAACTAATTTTAATTTTAAAAAAAAAAAGAAAAAGAAAAAAGAAAACCGCAACCAAAAAGTGAAAAACGAAATAGTATGTATCAAATTGGTTTTGAATCTCCCTTGGTTTAAATAATTATGTTTTTATTTGTCAAACATTTTTGTTATACAACGATATATTTATACTCTAAGGGAGTGAATGAATAAATTAGTTGCAAACTCAATATTTTCATGATTCGAACCTAAACTTCTAACTTATAAGTGAAGAGGAACACAAACGAGATAATAAAGAGCACGTGTAGCTGTTGGGTTTCATAAGGGGACAATGTCTCTGATACCATGAAGGAAGTTGAGATCCGACTATAAAACCAATTAGCAATACAAAAAGTAGCCAAATTTACTTATAAACTCATGCAATGTCCATTCTTCCACCAATCTGAGATTCATTCTCCGAAAAAAAATTAAGTAATTATGTTCACATCATACCTTTTCGAGGTTTGGAAATTAGAGTCCAAAAGCATTTTATATGGAAAAGTTATTAAATTATTGAATTATGAGTGATAACTGTTATTCACATTTAAAAAAGAAATTATCACGAGTTCTTCATAATACACTCGAAATTAACTAATAAGTACTCTCGTGTTAAAATTTTCATTACATCATTATGCACTCTTCATCACTTGAATTTATCTAATAATTCTTCTCATATTAATCCCAATGTGCATTCCTAAAATACTTACATTTCACTTGAATTGATTTATTAGTAGCTCAAAGTCCACTCTCGCAATAATTGGATTGACAAAATTAAAAGTAGCGTATGATGACGCTTTTGGAGTGTGAATAACACCATCTGATATCGTCAGGTAACACGTTTATCAAGGAGTTGTAAATGGGCATGACAAATGCCTCTCTCCTCAACCCTAATGTACGATTAACCCTCGCCTATAAATTGCAAATCTCATAGTTGCACTGTTGCACTTGCACAGCAGAAGATTGTATATTTCTGAATAGCTAGCTTCTCATTGACACTCCTCTCAAACAGAAGGATGAGCAACCGGACAGTGTCAATTTTAAGATTGATTTTCCTTGTGGTGTTTCTTGGATGGCTTGTGATTTGGATTATGATGCCTACAAAAACCTACAAAAATGGCTGGATGCCCAACTTACAAAGCAAGCTCAATTCTACATATTTTGGAGAACAAGGTTTTGTTTGTTCCTTAATTACAGTTGCTTGCTTAATCAATTTAATTAAGGTTCATATTATGCTTAAAATATAACCTTGTGTTGTGTCATACTAATTAATTGCAGGGGTTAATCTTCTGCTCTTCTCATTCCCAGTGATGTTAATAGCAGCTTTAAGCTGTGTTTATCTCCATCTCCAAAAGAAATCAATTAGGTCACCATCGTCCACAAGGTTTTTACACTATAATACAACTTCTATACAAATTAACACATGATAATTCTGTTAATATGCTCATCGACCATCGTTGACTGGTGCAGTACTACTACCACCGGTGTCAAGACAAATCGATTAGCATTTTGGAGACGTCCAGTGGTTGTGAAGGCTCCTCTGGGAATTGTCACTGCAATAGAGCTCGCTTTTGGACTCATGTTTGTTTCACTCTTGGTCTGGTCTCTTGCCAATTACTTATATGTCAGCTTCGGCCAACTCCATATGCATATGCCTGGCGAGAAAGTGTAAGCATGTATAAATACATATACTTATACATATATATACATACATACATACATATATGTATGTATCCTTTCTTAAATGCTTTTTAAAAGAATGATATGATCACTTGATTTTTTTCTCTTGATTTTAGTCAATTAAATTCATGTTAATTAATAGTGATTATATGACAGGTGGGAAGCGAAGTTTCGAAGTGTGTCATTGAGATTAGGTTACATTGGGAACATTTGCTGGGCACTTCTCTTCTTCCCTGTAACTCGAGGATCTTCGATTTTACCTCTCTTCGGGCTGACATCCGAGTCAAGTATTAAGTATCATATTTGGCTCGGCCATCTCTCGATGATCCTCTTTGCTGCACATACCGTAGGGTTCGTCATCTACTGGGCCATGACTAATCAGATGGTTCTGGTAATTAACTAAATTCAATCATTTTTTATCTTTAATCAATTCATTCAGTCTTAATTACTCTGGTATATAGCTACTAGCTCTTAGCTTAATTTGGTTGTATTATGCACGCGATTCATGAAAAGTAATCGTCTTGTTTTCTAGTTGTGAGAAGAGAATCTCTAACCTCATTTAGAATTTCAAAAGGGAAGAATTTAAAAGAATTGTGTGGTTCAACTTAAATTCAATATCATGTCTAGGGCAGCAGCGAATCATTATATGAAAACATATGTAGACAACAAGGACAAGAATTAGGGAAGATATCTTTTTGGAATTTTCTCACACGTGATTTCTACACCCTTATTTAGCTCATCATGATGATATGTATCCTAACCAAATGACTTCATGCATGATGATTTATTTTTTAGTTATGTATATAAATTCTTATAAGTAGTAGTGCACATGACTTGTGTTTCCATGGAGAAACACTCATATTCCACTTCTTTCGAATAACGTATATCTATTACAAATGAATTTCACGATCACGGCTATATATTCAACTAGTCGATCGGATATGCAAGTAAATACAACTTCAACTAGATTGATTCATCAGCATGATTAACTCGATCCATATATATATACAAATAGCTGGTATACTAAAAAAATTATAGTTTTCATCATCAATAAACATGACAATAAACTATACTGACTTTTCGTTTCTTTAATCTTTGGATGATATGAGATTCGAAGTTGAAAAAAAATTCATCTCATCTTATCGTGGATGAGAAATATTATTAAATTAATAGCTAGCTGATATTATAATTCACTGGTAGTCTATGACCAAATGCGGCTTGATCAATCCGCATGGTTTCAAAATAATTAGAAAATAATTAGGTTTCCATCCTTATTTTTTCTACTCCATTGATTAAAATTTTATTCATTTTCAAATTTTGATCAAGGTCCTTCGGTTTTAATAAACGCCATTAATTATACAAAAACAAAATATTTACATGTCAAGATAATTAAGTTTCATTTTTAAATAGAGAAGTGTTATTAGCACTCATAAAATCTCATTCTACACTCCTCACAAGTGTATTTTTCTTTCTAATTATAGAAAGTTTGGAGTGCAAAATGAGATTTTTGGAGTGCCAATAACAATTCCCTTTAAATATATTCATTTAGTGTTAGAAACAGTACATTTGATATATTATATTTATGGCTAAACTTTTTATCATACATTTCTATTTCTAGTTTGTACCCATTTTTAATTTGCAACCATTTTTTAAATTGTACCAATTTTCTTTTAAATTTTAATTTGTACCCATATATTAATTTCTTTTTGTCCCTTATTTTTTCAACTTTTATTTGTACTCATAATTTTTTTAAACTTTTATTTGTACCCATAATTTATTTATAATGTACCTTTTTTTTTTTACAAATGTACCACTTTGTTATATGTAAAATGTATCCCTATTTTTTTTGTAAGTACCATTTTTTATGTAAAATGTACCCATTTTTTAATATAAAATGTATTTATTTTTTTTAATATAAAATGTACCCATTGTTTTCTATATAAAATGTACCCACATTTTTATGTAAGTGTACCAATGTTTTATATATAAAATGTGGCCAAATTTTATTATATAAATGTACTCATTTTATAAAAATAAAAAAAATTCCTTTTTTTTTTATAATCTAGAATGCACCCATAAGCAATTATATATATATCAAAATCCATAAGCAATTTTGAATAATTAAATTGGTAGTGTAAATGAAAGCAAAAACAAAAAAAAAAAAACAGTTGAGTCTTTATTGGTATTATTGCATCTCTTTTATTATTATGTCATTTATGTAGTAGGAGAGAGACTTCAATAAAAAATCTAACACATAAGTTTTGAGTCTATAACAATTAGGGATCAAGGACCGCAGCTAAACTATCCCTAATCTTAATATGCTTTGAGTACTATGAAAAATACGGGCAAGTACACATTGCCGGCGCTCACATACGTTTGTATAGTACAAGAACTACCAGTACTAGCACTCCCTATCCAATTAACTTACTACAAATTTACCTAATTAAGAGGTTGTGGTCAACCCTTTAACATGTGCTGGACGTTAATTAATTGCAGCTGCTTCAGTGGAGCAAAACCTACGTATCAAATGTAGCTGGGGAGATTGCAATTGTGTTGGCAATGGCCATGTGGATCACAAGCATTCCTCGTGTTAGGCGTAAAATGTTTGAACTGTTTTTCTACACTCACCATCTCTATGCACTCTACATCTTCTTCTACGTACTGCATGTTGGTGCTTCCTACTTCTGCATGCTCCTCCCCGGCATCTTCCTCTTCATCGTCGATCGATACTTGAGATTTTTACAATCGTACCAACGAGCCAGGTTAGTCTTAGCTCGTGTTTTACCATGTGGTACCGTTGAGCTCAACTTCGCCAAGACACAAGGTAACTATTCGTCATTAAATATTTTAATATCAACTTTGTAGCTTATTCATATTATAACGCGTGTATTAGTAACGTTTTTAGCTTTAGGCATCATTAAATATGTCGCATTTATACTTGTTACGTGTTTCATGTGTATCTATGTATTCATAATTTCATATTATATGGTAGGTTTAGAAAATATCAGCTATTATACCGTAGCTAGGTTTGGAAAATAGTAATTCTATTGCTCACTCATATTATAACGCATTAGTCTACGTGTCATTGTCATATGTGTTAGGTATTGGTTCATTAATATCATATCCTAAATTTTAAAAATATGAACCGTGTCATTCACCCGTGAATTTATACCATTACTTTTTTGTTTTCTTTTAGGATTGGATTATAATCCCACTAGCATCTTGTTTATAAACGTGCCAAGCATATCCAAGTTGCAATGGCACCCATTTACAGTGACTTCAAACCCTAATATGGAGCCACACAATCTCAGTGTTGTCATCAAGAGTGAAGGCGGTTGGTCTCAAAAACTCTACAAGCAACTCTCTTCAAATGTGAATCAAATCCAAGCTTCTGTCGAAGGACCTTATGGTCCCGTTTCATCTCATTTTCTAAGGCACGAGGCTCTGGTGATGTTCAGTGGAGGGAGTGGAATCACTTCTCTCATTTCCATAATCCGTGAAATTATTTTCCAAACCACCAAACCCGATTCCCATTTGCCACGTGTGCGGCTCATATGTGCCTTCAAGAACACAGATGATCTCTCCATGCTACAACTCTTGCTTCCTATTTATTCAACCCCTTTTGATTTTTCCCTCATAGATTTGCAAATTGAAGCCTATGTCACCAGAGAGACAGAGCAGCCGCCGGCATTGGCTTGGAAGCCCATCCAAACGGTGTCATTTAAGACCGACTCGTTGGACTCACCCATTTCTAGGGTTTTAGGTCCAAACAATTGGCTATGGCTTGGTGCAATAGTGACGTCCTCATTCGTCTTGTTTCTTGTTACTTTGGGACTTACCACTCATTTTTACATTTACCCGATTGACCACAACACTGGTGAAATTTACCACTACTCCTTTACCTGTCTCTGGTACATGTTTCTGGTCTGTTCTTGTATTTTCCTGGTATCTAGTGTAATTCTTCTTTGGTGCAAGAGACAACAAAATGCCTTGGAAGGGAAGCCAATCCAAAATGTGGAAGTACCAACTCATGACATAGAACTTGAAGGCCTTCCACACCATCCTGAAACCCTAATTGCTCAAAAAACCCAGGTGCAGTATGGAACAAGGCCTGATCTCAAGAGTAAGTTAATTAATTGCGCTTCTAGTCTTAATTAGTAACTAATGAGTTATTTGCCACTAATAAGCTTTTTATCCAACTTATTCTGTATCGCTAATTTAACGACCATTTTCATGTCCATGTTCTTGTAACGACACATTTTTGGATAAGTGATAAATTATTGTTTTTGTTTGCAATCCAGAAATTCTGTTGGAGGCCGAGGGATCTGATATTGGAGTGTTGGTGTGTGGGCCAAGGAAGATGAGACATGACGTTGCCAAAATCTGTTCATCTGGTTTGGCAGATAATTTGCACTTCGAGTCCATTAGCTTCGACTGGTGATGCATGCATGCATGCATGCATGCTAGTTTCAGTCTGAAGCCTCTATTATAACGCTCAATAATTGTCATTCATGAGATTTGCTTTCAGCACCTCTGTGTCGTCTTTAAAGATGTGTGAACGTAAAGTGTTTATGGATTTGTAATTTCTTTCTTTTTTTTGGTTGGGTGGAAATAAATAATTGATGTATTATAATTTGTAATCTACATATGCTCGAATTGTACAATGAATGTTAATTACTATGTAGCCATCATCAGCCATGGCACTTGATCATTTGCTGAAAACAATGAGGTATATAATAATGGAATATTCATATATTTGCATGCACTTTCTTAATTACTTACTGGAAATACTGCCGGTACACCAAATGTCATAATACAAGTGGTTGAATACTTAAAAAAAAAATTCAACCTTGTATAATTATGACACTTAGTATAGCAGACTGTTTTTGGCATACTGAAAAATTTCTCCACTCACACATCACATAATCCCTCTAAACCTTGTAATTGTTATTTATGTACTATTTTTTGGCCGGAGTGGCGGGACGAACCTTCATTGTATCAAGTTGTCTTTAGGTTTTGAAGTTTTGTCAATTTCCTGTTATTCCATGGGAACGGGAAGAACGGTCGTTAATCACATGAGCTCTTAGTTAAGTTATTATAAATGAAAATAATTAAAAAGCTATAGTAATTAACTGGAATGTTTTACTATTGCTTACTGAGTGAAGTTATGCATTGGAGAATTCAATAATATATAGCATGTAGTCCAATAACCTAGTTAGTAGATATAGGGTGTTGGATTTCTATCCATCCGTTCCTGGTTTAAAACTCTTTTCTCTCTTAAATTATTCTAATAGTTTTGAACCCTCTCCTCTCCTTAATGTTATAAATTAAAAAAAATAAATAAAAAATCAAGAATGTGAGATATGAAATGGGCATGGAATCAACTATGCGTCCTAATCAATGTAGTTCCTAGTTTTACATTTTGTTACGGATTCACAACCTCCCTCATTTTCAGTAAAGAGGAATGCCCTCGTTCCACACCAATGAGACGTTATTTAACCGTATAAACTTCACAATCAGAAATCGTTTTTATTTTTATTTTTATCATTATCTAAAGATCATTTTTAAAAGTGCATATTCATTTGATTTGGAGACTATTTAGTCATTCATATGTGTCGAACAAATCAATAATTCTGATAACGAGTAACTACATTATGATGATCCATTCATGAATTCTCTTGATTAAGAGTAATTTAAGATCTAGAATGTTAATAGGGTCAACTAATTCAGAAGGGAAGAGATTAAATACTTGGATCATAAAAGACAAACATATATGTATGCAAATGAATTGGGGAATGGGCAGACATGTATTTATGCCAAAGACAAGTTGACAACTGCATTGGAAGGAACACTGAGATCAGTATTCGGCATCTCCAATGACCTCTATTTGGTTTTCACTCCAGCTCACCCGGCCTTCACATTACCAGTCAACTTTTGCATTCACAATTTGTACAAATTCTATAATCGAAATTATTCATTATCTTTATGATTTGTAGAATAAATGCTTCATATTTATAATATTTGTAAAATGAAATAACGTTGTGTTTTCATTAAAATTAAGATGAATGTATCTTTATATATAAAAGGGCAACCTCAAATCAACAAGGTTGCTCACTTTGCGTGAGTCGGGGGAAGGGGAGGGGGGGGAGGGAATGTCTATCGTACGCGGCTTTACCCTTACTTTGCAAAAATGTTGTTTCCACGACTCGAATCTCACAAAAGAGAACCGTTCCGTTACGCCAAGGCTCGAACCCATGAATTTTTATATATAAGTAGCAAATATTGTCTTTTTTTTCTGTTCAATTTACACGTGAATTCACTGAAGATTTGACTAAGTTTATGTTTTTCATCGGACAAAATTTGTAAATATTTTCATTTCCCAAAAAGTTAAAAAATCAGATAAAAGTTCGTGTTAAAAAATTGCAAGCTATATAAAGATATCAAGCAAACCTCTTTTCTATAGCAGAAAGATGGTTTCCACTTCAAGTCCAGCAGAGGTGAAGGAACAAGAAACCAGTCCTGGTGAAGGAATGAGGACCGTTCGATCAATCATGAGGCTGCTTCTGATGGTGGTGTTTGTTGGGTACATGATGATCTGGATCATCATGCCAACCAACACTTACTATCTGAAATGGTTCCCTCATATTCATAAAAAAACTGATTCCACATATTTTGGCCAAGAAGGTTAGTTTGGTTTCATAAAAAAACCACAACTTTTCTCAAATTCGAAATCCCGTATATTAGAATAGTTTAGAATATCGTATAGTTTAAAAAAGAAACATTTAGTCTTACTGCATTTTTCTGTTTGATGTTTTTGCAGGTGCAGACATACTTATTTACACATTCCCCATCCTATTTACAGCAACCATGGGCTGCTTATTGCTCCACACGGGAAACAAAAATGTTGACATTAACAACCAAAGGTATACCCTCTTTCTCGAGCGAAACTTACTTACACCTGGGATGCCGCAGCTGTATGTAACGTTTTTCTTATATTTTCACTTTGATTAGCAGGGCGAAAAAATCATACCGGGCATCGTGGAATCGGCCTGCGCTGGTGAAAGGTCCTTTAGGAATTGTTTCTTGGATAGAGCTTTCTTTCCTGGTGATGTTCATTGCCTTACTTGTCTGGTCTATCTCTTCTTACTTACACGACATGTTTGCATATGCCACCCTGGAGGCTGCAGCCAAGAAAGAGCATGTGTAAGAAATCTCTATTTGTTCAAAATTACATTTATATTTTTAGTATTTCGCCAAAATTCCCCTGAACTTGTACCTCACTTTCAATTTATCTCCGGAATTAGCCAATTTTCCCCTAACCGTTATGTTTATCCACATTTCATATAAATTCGAGTCCTAATTTTTTTGGCAGGTGGGAAAATAAGTTGGGAAGTGTAGCACTAACACTAGGGATAGTTGGGAACATTGGCCTAGCCTTTCTCTTCTTCCCTGTGAGCAGAGGCTCTTCCATACTGCAGATCATTGGCCTCACATCAGAGGCAAGCATCAAGTACCATATCTGGCTAGGGCATCTTGTCATGACGCTCTTCACGGCTCATGGTTTATGTTACGTAGTCTATTGGGGGAGCACTAATCAAATTTCAGAGGTAATTCTTAACTTCCGAAACTTCAAAACACAAATTAGAAATGAGCCATTCTCACTATGAAGCAATTTTTTTTTGTGCTGGTGTAGATGTTGAAATGGAACAAGGTAGGTGTTTCGAATGTAGCAGGAGAAGTTGCTCTGCTTGCAGGACTAGCCATGTGGGCTATGAGCATCCCTCGCATCAGGCGCAAGATCTTCGAGCTCTTCTTATACACTCACCATCTCTACATTGTCTTCCTTGTCTTCTTTGTGTTTCACGTGGGGTTCTCCTATGCGTGCATCATGCTCCCGGGCTTTTACCTCTTCCTGATTGATAGGTTCTTACGTTTCTTGCAATCCCAGCGTAGAATTCGCCTGGTTTCAGCCCGTGTTCTTCCCTGTGAGGTGGTTGAGTTGAACTTCTCCAAGAGTCCAGGTGAGAAAACAAAGCCGATACAATCCTAGGCACCAAACGAGAGCTAAATGAATACTACATTGAGCTTTCCCATTAATTGTTTTTATTGAACTTGATCATAGGACTGAATTATTCTCCAACAAGCATGGTGTTTGTAAGTGTGCCTGGTGTTTCAAAGCTGCAATGGCATCCTTTTAGTGTTACTTCTAGCAGCAAATTCGATCATGACAAGCTGAGTGTTGTCATCAAAAGCGAAGGAAATTGGTCTCAGAAGTTGTATCAGGAACTGTCATCCTCTCAGCCCGCAGACCGCCTAGAAGTCTCGGTGGAAGGACCGTATGGACCTGCCCCAAGCAACATGCTAAGGTGTTCACATTGTAAACCCTTTTCCCAATTTTTCATATGCCAAATGTGTGTGCTAACTCTAACATGGTGAAAATGCCGGTGCAGGCACGACATGATAGTGATGGTGAGCGGAGGAAGCGGTATTACTCCGTTAATCTCCGTCATCCGTGAGCTCCTCTTCGAAGCCAATAACTTAGGCGGCAAGGCTCCAAAAATTCTACTCATATCTGTTTTCAGGAAAACACCAGACCTCACCATGTTGGACCTAATCCTTCCCGTTTCGGGCACAAACCTCGACATTTCTCGCTTGCAATTGCAAATCGAAGCTTATGTGACAAGACAGAAAGAACCCATGTCAGAATCCTACAAACCCCTCCAAACAATTTGGTTCAAGCCGAACCCTTCAGACGCGCCAGTTTCTGCAATTCTAGGCCAAAACAGCTGGCTCTGGCTTGGAATGATCATATCGTCGTCTTTCGTCATCTTTCTTGTGCTGATGGGCATCCTCACAAGATATTACATCTACCCAATTGACCACAACTCCAGCATGATATATTCTGACTCAGCTAGATCTGCCTTAAACATGTTATTTTTATGCGTATCTATAGCCACAACTGCTACAGCAGTTTTCTTATGGAACAAGAAACAGACCCTCAAGGAGATGGGGCAGATTCAAGTCCTGGACACACCAACACCGACAACTGCTTCGCCGAGCGGGCGCTTTGCCGTTGCTGAGCAAGAACTCGAAAGCCTTCCCCACCGGTCTTTCGTCAAGTCCACAACCGTGCACTATGACAGAAGACCCGATCTCAAGAGTGAGTAATATATATATTTTTTTCTTTCAAATGATGATTGGAGTTGGGAGAAAGATTAGGGTTTTAACATTTGGTAATTTTTGTAGGGATACTATCTGAGCGTGAAGGTTCGAGCATTGGGGTTCTTGTTAGTGGCCCAAGAAAGATGAGGCAAGAAGTGGCTGCAATTTGTTCATCTGGCTTGGCCAACAACTTTCATTACCATTCCCTGAGCTTCAGTTGGTAAACCTCAAAGTACAAGAAAAGGAAAATGTTGTCATAGGTGATTGAGGACTTAACCTACACCAAGTAGGTCGCCGTGTCTTAACATTGGTTTGAGATACCATCGAAGTAATATGGCATGGATACTAGTTTGAGATACCGTAAGAGTAATGTTTATGCAGCCATCGTTGTGTTGAAATTGTAATTGTACTTGTATTAGGAGTTGAATTCATTCTTGGTTTAGACTTTGTCCAATTTATAAGACAATTAATCAAGTTCTCAACGCATATTAAACATCGTAACGAAGGAACAAATTACATAAACTTTTTTATACTTCCTCTATTTTTATTATTTTTCTTCTTTATTGATACAAGCAATAGTGGAAGAGAGAATCGAACTTGAAGGTTTAGGGCCATAAACAACTGAAGCCTCATTAATTTTTTTCATCACCTAATAAAGAAAGTCGAGGAAAATGATTTTCACACACCCATGTTATAGCTCTGCACACCCCTTTAATTTCGGTCAATTAATTCTTTATTAATTTATTCACACTTGAAACTTGCATTTACAAATGTCACAAGGAGGCAAAGGAAAATTATAATTCAAGAGAGCGCGAAGAAAAAGTGCAAAGCAAACAGCAACAAGAAGGGATCAGCATCGAAACTAAAAAGCTTTAGATTCTGCACTAATCATTAAAAAAATGCCTAAAATAAAATTAAGAAACAAAATCAAGATGAACCAAAGCAACATCAGGCCCTAACCTAAAAAAAAATTTGCCTAAGCGTAATCGGAATGGTAAGAGTAGCTTCCACAGCGCCGGCAGCCGCCGGGAAGAGCACGAATATTTCGGCTTAACCATCACCGGAAAACAAAAATTCGGAAGAACTCCTATCTGCCCGAGTAACACATCGATTTGATGAAACGCCGGCAAGGGGGATGGAGGATTTCTCCTCTCGGAATTACGAATGTTGCAGGTTAAATGAGTTGAGCTGCACCAGAAGCTGGAGTTTTAATACCGAGTCAGCGTTGGAACCTTAATTTACTCTCCTCTTCGCTACTTCTCCTACGTAGGCTTCTCGAGGCCTTCTCTCGGTTGCCCTGTTGTCAGATTCATCGTAGTTGTGTGTGTTGCGAGATGCAAAACGGTCTTCATCAAAGCGGAACTGACGCACAACACCATTTGAATCAAAACGCCTCACGCGGCGAACGATCTCAAATCTTCCATCAGGTCTCCGTCTATCATCGTCGCTACCCTCGTATCTATACTCCCTACCACCACTGGGTAACTCGGAGAATTTTGCTGGACGAATCATGGATTCAGAGTAACCATCTGAATTCAATCTCTGAGATGAACGCTCTGAGTCAAACCTCTGTCCTGGCTGGAACCGCCTTCCCGCAAATCTCCTGCCCCTGAAATTGTGATCTACACCTGTATTTGAATCATCAAACCATCTGGAATTCTGTTGTGGGGAAAAACGACGCTTTGGTGAGGACACGAACCCTACTTCATACTTGCCTCCGAAATTTTGCTTCTGGAAAGGCACCCTCAGCTTCTCGATATTGGAATCAAACCTATCATCAGGAGACCTGCTCCCACGATGTCTTGAAATATCATTCAGTTCTCTCCATCCAAGAGGAGAGCGACTTCTGCATCTAGACTGGGGCTTTTTGTAGGGTCTACTATAATATATGGGTCCTCTGCCAGGGGGTGAAGTGCTTTGTTCTCTCCTGGCCGTTCGTCGTGGCACATTATAAGAGCATTCGTTGGGATCATCGGGTATGGATCTGTGGTAGTCCTCCCTGATGCCTCTGTTAACCCCTTGTGGATATCGTCTAAACCTCCGCCTATCAGGACTTGTATCTCTCATAGGTATCATTCCCCTGTGTATGTTGTGTGCATCATTTCTTTCAGATGGCGATCTTCTCCTAAACGAACCCTGATACGGACGATTTGATGAAAAAGTTATAGCTTGCCTGCGGACACGGTTGTGAACTCCTGGTGCTTCTGAAAATGTTTCGTCTGATTCCATCTCATATCCATGGTTCTCAACAACACTTCTTGGCCTACAGCGTCCAGAGCCAAAGGAACCATGATAAGTGGGTGATTCGCGTCGCTTGGAATCCCAATAACTCCCTGAAGAATAAACCACACCTCTGAAGCTTTTACCCTGCATATGTGAGTCATACTTTTCCCTTCCCATGGTCTGATCAGAACCAGCTTCCTCAGAGCGAATAGAATCAAAGTTGCCCAACCTGAAGCAAACGAATAATTAGTAACCAAGATAGAAAAACCAAAGTTGCATTAAAGATTACAAGAATCAATAGAGTTTACCTCCTCCTCCTTGCACATTCAGTACCCATCTTATTTGAGGAGTCAGATGCCATTGATCCAACCACGTTGGCAGGAGAATGTTTGGCATCATAGCCATCGAAGCCATTAACAGCATGTCTCCTTACTGTGCAGCCCTCAATTGCTTCCGCAGTTCTGTTTGAAGAAGCTTCAGAATCACAAGGTAGTTGATCAGATCCTGAAGTTTTTGTCTTCGAACCAACGGAACATTGTCTCAAAGCATGTTCATTTTTGTCACACATGTTATCAGATCCTGGACTCACTCCTCTCACAAGCTTAATGTTCCTGTCAATTTTCCTTGACTCCCCAAATAATTCTGTTTCTCTGCATTCAGGTCCCATTCCAACTTTCCCTGATATAGAGTCATCAGCAGCTTCACTGTCACATGTATCAGAACCATAGTCAACACATTCAGCTTCTACGTCATCAATTTCATTCTCCTCCCAATATGGTACATCCGACTCCCTCAGCTCCCCATCTTCATACTGGGAGTCGTAACCAGCTTCAGGTTCCAGAGTGTTTCCCTTGCCAACCATGTGATCCTTATCATCTTGACAAGTATTCAAGTCATAACCATCACTGGAAGGATCTTTAGTTACTCTATCCAAGCTACGTGAGCTATCTTCGCCATAGTGGCATCGCTCAAGAGAGGAGGACCCAGCAGCAGCTACTTGATTTGTCATGGGATTCCCTGCAGGTTTATGCATTACTTCCTCAGAACCATCATTTGGCAGAGAATTGACAGTATGAGTGTCAGAGGCAGCTTCAACAGGCTCCTTTGCAATTATAGTCACCAGCGACCGGCCTTCTCCAACAGAAGCACCTGATGCAGATTTTTCATCAGAATCAAGGCGAACGGGTGCGAGCGAGTGACAGCTTTCTACTCCCATCATCTCTTCCAGAGATTCTGGATCATCATGGACGCTAGATGTTGCACCAGAGCCCTTGCCATCTTCATCTAGAACAGTGCTTTCAATCTCACAAGATGCCCCTTCTGGCACACAAGCTAAAGCAGGGTTTTCAACCTTAACACTTCCTGAACAGACAGTTTCACTTGGTAGTTCACCAGCCACATGCTCAACAGAAAAGCTGGAAATTGGGGTTTTATCGGTCTCCTCAGACACAAGGCCTGTGACTGCGATGTTTTCAAGTCCAGCACAAGGGGAACCATCAATGCATGCATCTACACACGCATCCTGAGAGGAAGCTTTAGCACTGCTACCAGAATCGTTTGAAGATCCCAAAGCATTATCAGGAGAACACATTTACCACAACTCAAGTCAACTTCAGGGCACGCTTTCAATCCCTGTTCCTCATTGTCAGACAGAGGTTTCACGGTGCTTGCAATGTCATTCTTTGCATCTTCCTCCTTAGGTATCTCATTAGCTTCTGAAACTTGGACGTTTGCACCCTGCTTATTATCCATGGAGATATCATCTGCAGCAGTTGTTTTAGGATCAGCAATCGCCAAATCACAAGGTTCCTCCCAAGCATCCATACTAACATTTAGGTCCCAGTGGAACTTGACATCTTTTGAGGAACTCAATCTTGCTTCTGCTTCGTCGTGTGCTTTGTCAGTATTAATTCTGAACCCATCAGCTTCAAAGGAAGCGCTCCCGATTTTATCTTCTCGTCGTACATCTTTAGGGGATGAATGTACTGTTTCCAATGATGCAATACTTTCTTCCAAGATTGCAGAGACTGATGCATCTCTTGCTTCTGAAAATTCTGAAGCAGTTCTCATGACTGTTAAAGAAGTTGACACAATGGTTGTTTGCTCCAAGGGCCATGCAGAAGTTGATGCATCTTTTTCATCCAGAGGTGAATCTTCACCTAGTGGATTCTTCACAACATGATTGATATCATCATTTATGATGTTGTTGCAGGCAGCATCTGCCAATATCTCAATACCTGAAAAGTCATCCACGTCACCAGGCTTTTGATTTGTCATCTCGTTCAAATTCTCATTAGCACCGCTACTGGCACTATGACAGACCCTAGTCAGGGTAGAAGTATCACTCCTTGTGGGATGCTTTTTGCCAACTGATTTTGGACAAGACTTGTGACCTGAAGAATGACGACCATCCAATAGTGGTTTGTTGCCTTCAAGGTGTGGAGGGGGTGACGGAGACCGGACCATAAGTCTCCTTTTCTTAATCGGTACATGCTCAATTTTGTCACCAAATCGTCTCCCAAGTACAGCCACACCAAGCTGAAAAACAGTAAATTATATCAGCGACATGAAAAAAACTTATCGGAAAAGCACTCTCATTAGATATATTGGTACAAACGAACAACAAAGGAAAACTTGTGAAGCATTAACCTTCTCTGAATCAGAAACTGATGTTTCTGATGCACTTCTAGCACTTTTTTCTGCTAGGTCTGCACCCATTTTTTTGCTTTTATCAACAGGTTTCCGTGACCGCCTTGATGCACTCCGATAACCCTTTGAAACCTTCCAGTTCAGGTAAGGACTAATAGATTTTGTAAGTTCTACACGTACTGTATTCATCATGCCTTGGCAGAGAGATTTACTCCCATCAACTGTTTGTCCGTCACCACAAGTTCTGCAAGATGCAGTCCTTACTTTCTTTCCACTTTGCACCAGAGAGGTGGGTACACCCCCAGTGCAAGCACACAAATGAGTCTGCAAACCAGAAAGAAATAAATATAACTACTCGGTATAAAATTGCAAAAAAGCTTCGAAATAAATGGTAAGAAAGTGCAGGATGAAATAATTGAGACAGGTCAATAAATTGCCGTGCCAATCAAAATCAAGAATTAAATTAGATTATGAGAATATAAATACAAACTAAACTGTAGAAACTCTCAAGTAAAAACCATCACAAATCCTAGATGCTTACAATGATTGGGTTTCTGATGAGAACTCTCTGATAACTTTTATGAGAACCCTCCAAAGGAAATATGTCTCTGGAGTTTTCCACCCAACGCACCTGAAATCAGCGAAGACGAAGATCAGCACAGAAATTAGACCATAAAAAGGAAACAACAGTAAACATTGAAACAAAAGCTGATAAATAAATGAAGACTCAAAATCTATAACAATGTTATTGAGCCGAAAAGCTGATAACTAGACTGCCAGCACAGCCTCCACAGGCCATTACCTTGAGGCAGATCATGTTAACCAGTTTTGTAGGACTGCAAAAAATCCCTTGGTTCAGGATGTCGAATTGAACATTAGCAAGACCCTAATACTCGAAATCGGGCTTCTTTTTGCAACCATATAGTATTAGGACAACAAATATACTTCTTCTAACATAATTCATTCAATCTAGTAGACTGGGTTTATGTGCCCAAAATAGAGACTAATCACAAAGGTTTTTATTTCTAACAAGAAATTCAAATTGTCTTGCTCATTATCACCAGCAACAAGAACAGGCAGTCTCCGTGCCTCGAAAGAACTAAGACTTAGGACAGACCCACAAAACTTTTGCCTAGTAGATTCAAAATTCTTCCATATTTTGTGAAGGGTTCTTCGATCCATACCGATGGGCACATACAAGATGAATCAGTAATGGAATGGAGTTCAAGGACATGGGGATTCTGCTACAAAGCAGATCACCCATGACCCATCACAGATCCAGCCATATCAAACTAAAAATTCTACTTTTGTTCAGAGTCGCTATCATCAATTTTATCACCACAGCAAAGGCATGGCTCCTGGGGAAAAACCCAACTAGTTTATTCCTCAACCGCCGACAGCGACACCCTTCAATCCAAATACCATGATTTGGCAGCAGCAGCCGATCGAAATCGACATCAGAAGACTCGTAGATCTCGGCCGTATGCCTCTACCTATGGTTACAATCCTAGAGCCCATTAGGATTAAGCTCCATGAAATCCAGTCCAGTCCCGCAGGGCAACTTGAAGAAAAATCTGTAGTCCTTCAAGATCTGTAATCGGACTAGCTCCTTTTCAAAGACAGTGGCTACAGAGCCCAATAACTCGGCGATTTTCACAAATCCGGCGCCGATTAGAAGCCTCCTCATCATTTCGCTTCGCAGAAGTTTCTTGAAGATGATGATTGATGATGATAAAGATAAAATTAACCACAAAAAAATGGCGAAACGCAAATTATCAAAAGCTTTTAGGGTTTTCAATACCTGTTTCTTCCAAACTCTCAACAAATCCGCCGCCGCCTCCGCCGCGGTGGTCTCAAAACGAATCGAATCGATCAACAACGAAGAGATTCCCGCCCCTCACAAGATCAAAATCCTTCATAATATCACCCAAGGAAAGCGATTGAAAAAACGGTTTTCGAATCAGATTTCTTCTCCTTCCTCTAGATTTCAATCAGAGAAGATGAGTTTCAGTCCCGATCTTGATCGTTAAATATGGGCCGTCGACTACCGGTCCCTTGGAGAACAATCGCTGCACCTTGCCGCCGCCGATTAAATCCACCCTTTTGTTCGATCCTTCGCCCTACTTCTTCTTTCTTGTTTGGATGAGAGAGCACAGATAAGAGCACTCAGACCACGTATTTATGGTGGTCCTTATGCCGAGACTGCCCTCCGTCTTATTTTTTGTTTCCCAAAATACCCTTTAATTTCCCTAGGTGCGTTTGGTACGTGGGACGGGATGGGACGGAAGGCGTTCCGTCCCGCGTTTGGTGCGCCAAAAATGGGTGGAACGGGCTGTTCCACGGGACAGATTTTGGATGTTTTTGCGTCCCACCTCCTCCCCCTGGAACGGGTTTGTTCCACGTTTGTGGAACACAATCTTTTACCATTTTAAGACAAATATACCCCATGTCTTTTTCAAAAATTACACCTTCGTTCCGTCCCGTTCCGTCCCGTCCCGTCCCGTCCCGTCCCGTTCCGTCCCGTCTGCGTACCAAACGCACCCTAAATTCCAAAAGAAAATAGGAATAAAGAAAAATTTAAACACGAATCTCGAAGTCAATAGTCAAAGAGTGAGCCAATTTCTTTAGGACTTGAAGGGCAATTTTGACTTTTGGATATCTGTGAATTTTGATTTGCGAAGGAGAGTACGAAAAATTAATGTTTGTTTTTGGACCTCATCAATTTTCTAAACTTGTATTTCACATGACACATTTTTAGTTCGATTCATGATGCTAGTGCTGAAATTATGAGTCTTTCACCTTTGAAAAGATGGATTGTCGCGGCGAAGCCACAAACTGGACTTTTTAAGTAGAAAAATTATTGATACTTTATACCTAATGGCATTTTGTACATATAAACAAGTTGTTATTTTTTTATTATATATGTACAAATTTTTTTGTGTAATGCGTCAAACAGTGTCATTTTCGACAATTTATTTATACTCAACTTTTTATTGATTACTCGAATAAGTTATGAATCCTAATATCGAGAAGAGAGGAAAGTATGGATTTTTTACTACAATTTTTGTGATAAACCTAACCTTTCATGTGTTTAAGAATTAATTGAGAGCATATTTGTTAAAAATTAGGAAATCACATGGCAAAAATATTTAACTTAATTGACATGACAATTGAGATGTTTCAATTACAATTAAACTAATAATATCACCGATTCCCCCATCCATATTGGAAGCCCTACATTATTTAAGAAATTTAAAATAAAAAAAAAAGGTTTGTCACATCATTTAAGTTTTTGTATCATGAAATCTCCTTTATAAAAAAGGTTAGGTATCAGATGCGCTTAATTGTGTACTGCCTCTTGCTACATGCGTTGATTTGCTTTTTTTAAGTATATAAGATTATATTTTTATTTAATTTTGATATTTTTATCTTTTATTAAAATATGTATTTTCAAAAAATAATGAACTTACTAACTTCCTACATTTTTTTTTAAGTTTTAATGGAAGAAAGCAATTTTTTCCAAAAAAAAAAAAAAAAAAAAAAAAAGGAGAAAGCAATTTGGTCATTATAAAAGTTTCACCATCTCTATCTTCTCTTTTTATAACTAGCATTTGCTGTGTGTATGAACATATTTTTTTTAGAAAATGAGAAGGAGAGAGGGAGAGAGAGAAAACGAGGGGGGAGTGGGAGGTTTTTTTTTTTTTTAATATTGAAGATATTTTAACATCACATGTAAGTGAGGCTTTAATAAAAAACAATAAAATTTGGACCTGTGAAATAACATTATTGCCCATCGTTTTTTTGTGTGAGAAGACATGAGCACATTTATCAATGTTTAAATAATAATTTAATCATGAACTTCCACGTCACTTAATTTACAAAAAAATTGTCTACAAATTTAGTCTCCCTAACATTACTCATAGAGATATATTTATATTTGTCTCCAAAACTTGTAAGGAGCGGCAAAGTTTACTCTAAACTTTAATTTTTGTCAACTACACTTCAACTTTTATAATTGACCAATTCTTTTTAGTCGATTACCTCCTCGACTATGAATCTTCTCCATAGTCTTACTTTTTCAGCATCATGTTGCGGTTATGATGTCATTTCATTAGCCTTCTTTGTGATTTAATTCACATGATCATCTCAGTTCACATATTTCAATTCAAGACATAAATTAAATAAAAAAATTAATTTCTCATCTCAACAAATTCATTATTAGAAACTGGTCAATTATAAACATTCAAGAGGTAATCGGCTAAAGTTAAAAGTTGATAAAGAAATTGTCCGATTATAAAAATTCAAAGGATAATCGATTAAAATTAAAATTTATTAGGTAATTGACAACTAATGTGGTGAGAATTTATCGAATAGCTCTTTGTAAAAGGAAAAAGAAAATTAAAATTAAAAAGAGATAGGAAATCTCCACTATCCTCCAAAATCTCCTACGCGTTTTCAACTTTTATTCCACGGAAAGAACCCCACCCACCACAAGCGAAAGCCCAGTGGGCCCCACTCTCCCGAAAAGTCTCTTTTTCCATTATTGTCCAAGGAAACGGCCAAACAGCATCTTAGTCGTCCATCTCATCTTCCAACCGCGGACCCCACTATATGAGAGAAATTAAATCGTACCGTGACGTAATATTACAATACGCATAGTATTACACGTTGTAATTTTTTGAGGCTATCTACCTTGTCGTCCGAAGAGTTTTCTGGTTCGAACACTCACCACGTGGTTGCTCGGTCGAGACTCATCGGGTGGCATTAATAACGCGTTTACTAATCCGTAATTGAAATGAGAATAAGAAATCTGATTCCGATTACGGATTATACTTGTGTTTACTAAAATTAGAAGGAATCAAAAGTGTGTGGGGCCCACACAAAAAATGAAATCCAATTCCTTAAATTGAAGGATTTGGATTCCCAACATATATAAGGTATTTGGATTCCGGATTGCTCAAGCAATCAGAATAATAATTTTTTTTCCTTTATACCCTCACTTACTTTCATTATTTCCAAGATTATCCTTTTAACACTAGACTTATTTTTCTTTTCACCCAGCTCATTTTCTAACTTCACCCAACTCATTTATTTTCACCCAACCCATGTCCTTCTAGTTAATTAAGCATAATTCTATGCTTATTCACATTATTCACAACTCTATACATATGCCGAAGAGAAAAAACTACAACTTGAGCGAGAAAATTTAGCTATTAAAGTCAATACTTAAATTTATAAAAAAATAAACAAAATCATTTTAGTATGTCTATGAAATAAAAAAGCAATTTAATTTCTTCTTACTATTATATACTATATCAAATTTTATTAAAAAAAAGTACATAAAATATTTGTTTTGAGACAAGGGCATTTTAGTAATCATACTGATTTATATTCCGATTCTACTGAATTAGTAAACAACTTCAACATGAATCTGATTTTGATTTCACCTCATTTCAATTCCTCCTCAATCCAATTTCTCTCAATTTGATTACGGATTAGTAAACGCGCTATAAATTGCGACGGTATGGCCAGAATGCAAGATGGTCCTAAGTAGGATGTTCTTTTTGTCTTTGTTCACGAAAATAAGTTGCACTTTAGAATTTCACCGTATTGTCCAATCATATTGCAACACATATATTAGTAACAGCACATGACGGTGTCACTATCTAGCTATTCCACCAAGATGGGACTCCACAGTCAATCCAATCATATGAGTGAACCCTCGGAATCGCTTTCGGAGTAAGCAACTAGTCCTAAAATTGTGACTTTTGCTTCAGAGCCCCTAAAGTTTTAGGCTTCTAAAGTTCGTGACCATATTTGTATTTGTCTTCTACATTGTGACCAAAAATAAAACGGAAGCTGTCAATCAGGTTTGAAAGGAACATCTGCAAGCATTATACTTTCTTTTCTTGGTGTAAACTACAAAACAGTCGGCAAACAAACCGAACAGGCGTTTTACGGAGAATGGTATGCTACAGAAATTGGTGTAATATACTGTAGGGTATAAGAAGAAAGTACGACAAAACAGACCACAGGTAACATCTGTCTTGAACAATATCGGTTGGATGCTTGTGTTCCAAGCGAAACCTGAAACCTTATGACTTTGCAAAAATGGAAACTTCCTCGGCAGGGTTACGAGTCATCAAGCATCTTTTAATCCCTTGCGGTCGCTCAAAAGGAGAGCATCTGATGGTTGCCCCGGTTTCTTCTTTTACTTTTAACTCTTCCTCGTTACTGTGCAATAATTTGCAGCTGTCAATGTATTAGAATGAGAATGCAATTTTCCTCGACAATGTGTTTTATAGAATTAACAACTACGTTACTGAAATAACTCAAAAGTACACATACCTAGCCGACTAAGGACCTCTCGCCCATTTTCTCTAGAGCATGAAAGTGCATCTATCTGGAAAAGATTCTGCTTGCCTCAACAGAGATGACTGGATCTCACTCAACTTGTCCGTCGCATAAGCCAGCAAATTCAAAAGGCCCCATGGATATCCCGAAAACCTTCTCTTGCTTTCCAGGAACATCTGTTCTAGATACAACCACACTCTGGTGTTAAACATCACGAGGACCAATTTCAATCCTTAAAGGGACTCCTTATAAAACCAAACCAAGGCTTGTTATTGAGGTGACTGACAATAAGAGAACAATAACATGCAGCCGTTTTAATCTTCAAAGAATTAATTCAATAAACAGCTTCTCGAAAAAGAACCAATATGTTAGCCGTGCATGAAATGGTATAAGCACTCAAAACAAACAATAAGCACTGTGAGCATGAGAAAAGGTCAACTTTTGGTCTTATCTTTCCCCAATCTTTGGAACTCATATAAGTATTAGGTAAACATTCCCATCAAATCTGATGCAAGTCAAACAATTAGACAATGAAACGATTAACATATGATGGCTGTTCAGTTTCTGTAATTACAAGAGCTTATAAATAATTAAGTTGCTTCGAGTCATAGTATGCCAAAAGCAACACACCAACGGGTACAAATTGCTTTATCTTTTAAGATTCAGGACAAACCTTCATCTCCCAGAAATTGAATTTCCATCTTGGGGTTCTCTGCTCAGAGCCGTCAAGTTTAACTTTATTCCCTGCAGCCTGCAGAGCTTCTTTGACCAATTAATATTATGCAGCATTGGGGACTTCTCTACTATCATCATCCTTCTTCCAAATTGGTATAATTACCACCACCTATACGCAAGCGAGAAATTTTGTTGAAATAAAAACGAAATAAGCCATGCATGCACACATGCCTGGGAAGAGGAAACATACTACACAAGCAGAACCAAACTGAATTCTAAGCATACCACGCTGAATGCTTTCGCATGAGAACAAATAATATTAAAAACTAAACTAACAGACAAGTTTCCAGATGACCTTATACTAAATACAGCACATACTAAGACACAGACGTCCACATATTTTTGCAAAATGCATAAAGATCTCCAACTTTAGAACTTTACCTGTATCGGTGCAATCTTTGGGGGAAGCATTAAACCTGTATCATCTCCATGAGTCATTATAATCCCGCCAACAAAAGGGGTACTCACAGCCCTTGAAGTTTGCCACACATGTTGCCTCTGTCCACTTCCATCAGTAAACTGCATGCATAGATTTTGGTCAAATTCTGTTCTAGCGCCTATAAAATGAGGTTTTGATTATCATATCATAACTAACAAATAACCACATTATCATATCATAATCAAAGTACCTATGTTTCAAAGGCACGAGAAAAATTCTCCCTCTATCGTATAGGTCCTAACTGAAGAAAGTTGGGGTTCCACCATAAAACCAATTGGCAATATGGGGAGTAGCCCAACCTCTTATAAACCCATGCAAAATCCCTCCTCCCATCAATGTGGGACTTATTCTCAACACTAACAGCACCAGCAAATGTTTCTACTTTTGACTTTCCACCTGCAATGACAGGTATTTCAGCTTGCTCATAAGCAAATTTCAAATACATATCAATCATCTGTATAGCCTGCAGCGGCAGGAGCAGTATGTCCCTCCAGCCATAGAAACTCAAGAGTCCTCACGAAAGGTTTCATTGACATCTCCCATCTTGTGACATTGGCCACTGAAGTAAATTAGACATCAATTCATAAAGACCAAAGCTTACGTAAAATGAAAAACTCCTCCACTGAAAATCAAAGTACTTCAATTACGAGACCAAGCAAGTGTGGTACCTGGTTAACCATACAGGGAAGATCACGGTAACTATGAATCCACTGGGTGAACTGAACATGTGATTGACCATGGTTTCGCTCGTGGGTCGAACCTGCCAGAGCCTCAAGAAGTGCAACAATCAAAGATAACACCTTCTGTAATATTCACTCAATAACTTATACAATCAAATACAACACAATTTACTGACGGAAATGCATACGACAAGTTTCTCTTCGAACTCCTTCCCTCTTCCTATTGTCACAAGTGTTAATTCGGGACTAAAACCCTCAACATGGCTGGCTTCTTTCTCTATAAAAAGAGTAGGGTATAAACTGTAGCATTCCAAATTTATCAAACAACTAAGAATTTCAAATTTTAAGCATTACATTACGCATCAAAAGCTCGAAAATCATATGAACATGTTACTGTGATCAGTCTCCTTGAATTTCACATTCAGATAATCCTACAAAAACTAAATAAATTCAAAATTTCAAACCACTGAATGTGAAATGAATGCAATCAAATGGATAGAGGTAGCGGCAGCTGGAGTACCAGAATGGCTTCCCAAATGGCGTAACCGTAGGGACGGATGACCATGGTTCCACGAACGGGAACGTAGTCGTCGAGCTCCGCCTGTTCAATGACATCCAGGTACCAAGCATTGAAGTCTTGTGATCGAGGACTGACACCTCGGTCCTGGACTCGGTTGCTCTTCTGATTATCGACTCGGTCCTTCTCGTCGGTAACCGACGTTGTTCTCTGAGCTGATATACCGGTGGTGGATTCCGGAAACCAGAGATGGTGGCGGTGCACCACCGGATAACGGCGGGAGATGGAGGGTGAGAAGAGCGAGCTCGGTAAAAATAGGCAGACGTGGACTGGGCCGGTCGGGGCAGCCCAATTACAAATAGGTTCCCTGGCCCTGCCTTTGGGCCGATGTTCTTGGGCCAAGGAATTGTGTTTTATAGAGGACTTCAACTTGGGATGTAGGAAATTTAAGAAACTTCACAAAAGCTTATACGGAGATGGGTTACTTGTCATTTCCCTGTTATTCACGAATTTAGAAATTTATATCTTGACCTTCTGTGAAGCTCCTCTAGTGCACATCTAAGTTACACATCTAACCGGGAGCCGTTAGATATTGTTGAGTTAAACAATCTAATAACTCTTATTCAGATGGTTAACTTAAATATGCACTTTTATTGTGCAGTAGATAAGCCTCCGACTTTCTTTAGCCTTTATTCGAATGTTAAAAGAAATGAACTGAATTAAGCTCATCTATAACATCAGTCCAACCCAATTTGGTCGATAACATCTATTGGACGGACCCTTGACCTAAAACTAGGGTGTCAATTTCAGATCGATCTTACGTACCTAGTCTACCGTTCATGACTCAGTTGGTGGCAATACATTTTTTGTCATAATTGTTCAATTTATGGACCGTTAATTAGTCTTCAAATGCTCAAACACATTAGATACGTGAGAAACTTACTTACGGAATGCTATGTAATACAGTTTGGAATTTGTATTTTTGACAAAGTTGAATTCCAATAATTGCTTGAAAGTTTTAATTATTTATTATTTTGTTTTGCCAACACAAAAGATTTTTGACTTTGGGGGAGCTTTGTGCTGGGTTCCTTTTGGCAGTGAGATGGCAGATACGGTTTTATTCAACCTCACTTTTGGGTGACACAAGTGAAGTGATAATTCAACCCATCAAATCCAACACTCCTTCCATAATTATTACTCATTTTTTTCTGGGCAGGCATATGTCTTAAATTCTTCTTTTTATTTTCTTCATTACCTCATTTAATATAATAATAATTCAATGCTTCCCTCCCATGCCTATGTCATTATTCCTCTATGAATGCTATTTATTTTCTTTTTATTTCTACTCCTACATTGAAAATCATTTGAAAAAAAATTATCAACCTTCTCGTTCTCTCTATCGGGTAGTGTTTCGTTAAAATTCCATTTATCCAATATATAAAGTCCAGATGGATCATGTTTCTTACTTAAGCATTGACATTTTAATAGCATGACAGATGTTTAAACGGTTTTTCATTGAATTGATTTTCTGTAGTGTTAGCTTTAAAAGGCGACCCATATATTGGACAATTATAGTATCAAACAACATTGAAAGATGGAAATAAAAACCAAGAAAATAAAAATAGAAAATCCAAAATAAGAAGGTTGTTGACATCCCTCGTATTACTTTTAATTTAAAATGATAATTTCACTCCCTAGCCAACTACAATAACTGTGCCCCATTGATGATGATAAGCACTCCGATTACTGTGGAGCAGCAGTAGAGCATCTAGCAAAGTAGCAAGCAAAGCATGCACTCTCCGTCCTTTACCAAATACATATCTGAAAATAGCGCAACTTATATGCGGATGGTGCTTTATTATAGTGGCGAAAAAATAATAATGTATATGCATTCTAATGCGATTTTGATCTTTACCTACTTCCCTTCTTTCTAACATTTTAACAATTTAACTCACTATTCATATCATTTGTAAAACAAAAATAAATAAAATAAAAAAAGCTCAACTTATCAACTTGTCAACTTGTCCCCTTTTCTAATTTATAAATGTGTATTTATTATCTATAGAGCAAAAATTGTACATAATATGTAAACAAATAATTCACTCGACATAATTTTACCCTTGTTCATTTTTTCCGAAGAGGGTTTAATTAATTTGAGTTCGACCCATTTTAGACCATGCGTCTATTAATTACAATCATTCGTTAAGGGGAAAAACTCTTGATTCCAATATGAATAAATCGTAACTTGGGAATTTATTTGATTTTGTGACTGCACCTAGGTCAAGCCCTAGATTGCCTACGTACCCTCGTTGAGGGATCAAGTCACTCGTAGTTCCTTAGTATTTGGTATTTGTTTGGATTTGATGCCTTGTGTAGCTTTAGCTCTTGCGAGCGAGAACTTTGAACCATTGGAGCAATTGGTGTCTTATGCAGTTTCAGCTCGTGCAGGCAAAGGCTTTGTGCCAGTTGGAGCATTTGATGCCTTGTGCAATTTTAGCTCGTGCGGGCGAGGACTTTAAGCCATTTGAGCATTTGATGCCTTGTGTAGTTTTAGCTCATTTGAGCATTTGATGCCTTGTGCAGTTTTAGCTCATGCGGACGAGGACTTTGAGCCATTAGAGCAGAATGCGGCTTCGTGCCATTTGAGTCTTGTTGCGGCTTCGTGCCATTTGAGTCTTGTTGCGGCTTCGTTCCATTTGATATTCGATACGGCTTTGTGTCATTTGAAGCAGCTTTATGCCATTTGAGTCTTGTCGCGGTTTCGTGCCATTTGTATCTGCTTTGTGCCATTTGTAGCGGCTTTGTGCCATTTGGTATATGATACGGCTTCGTGCCATTTGATATTTGATACGGCTTCGTGCCATTGGCACTTCGAGAATTTGATCTATTAAATTTGACATAGTGTAAGTCCATTGAGTTTTGTGCTTTGAGATGGTTCACATCTACCGTATTTAAAGTGATTTACATCCTCCATGGATTCGATGTCGGAATCTCTTCACACATGATCTGCCTCCATCACTCTATTGGATTCCTGCCCATTTATTATTTTGGCCCAATTTCCAATTTGTGAGGCCTAGTTAAAACTACATCTTTTTCGTGCCTTGCCCAATAAAGTTTGAGAAGGGTTAAGATCTCATTTAAAATGGGTTTTGATCCCATGACTTTCCCTTTCGATTTTCACTTGAGTGCCTTTCCCAAGGGAAGTTGTTAGCAAGCTTTATTTTCTCTTTTTTTTTTTTGTGAATTAAGCTTTCAAGGTTCAAATAGAACTTTGTTTCCTCTTCCTTTTATCGTCAGCAACTTCTTTTCTTCTTAACTCTAAGACGACTGTTGTGACGGGATTGTTTTTTTGCAAATACATCGCTCACTATGACCTTGTCCGGGATCATTGCTCGTTGTAGCTTCCTTTCTTGTCAGGCAGAAGTTGTTGTTTCATGCTTTGAACCACTCCGAGAGATTGCCGGAAGAACCGAGTTATTTATCAGTATGATTTCTAAAAGGACCTTTGGAAAGCATCAGTTGAAGGGCTGTTGTATGTGCGAGTACGGACAGCATGGACGAGTTTCATTTTTTGTCTTCATTCGCTGCAGGTTCATGCATGTTTGTGGGAGTAATGAAACAATGGAAACACCATTTCTACACCATTGCCTTGTTTCTTGTATAGAACCATCTTTTATGACTTGGTGCACAAAATTTTGAGGTTGTTCCTAGTTGCTTTTTACGGGACAAGGCTTGCACTATTGGGCTACTCGAATGACGACTCGACGATTCAACGATTTTCTTCCTGATAGCTTTTCTATAGGGACCAGGTATTCAATGGCCTCATTACGGTGGACAGAACCTTCTAACAGCAATGCTACGACAACAGGTGGCACGAATCACTTAGATTTGATTAGAACTTCACGAGGTGGTTTAGACCATCCCGAGAAATTCATAGAATTAACGGCAGCGGCACGGAGCACTTAGATTTTATTGGAACTTCACGGGGTGGTTTAGACCACCCCGAAGAAATTCATGGGATTAACGGCAGCAGCACAGAACACTTGATTTGATTAGAACTTCACGGGGTGGCTTAGACCACCCCGAAGAAATTCATGGGATTAGCAGTAGCGGCACATACGAACTTGCTAGGCATGGAAGTCATAGCATGGCCGCTATTAGTGGCACAGACGACGGTTTCTTTGCTGCTATTGGCGGAGAAAACGGTAAATTTTCTCCAATGGTGGAGAAAAAGAATGAGCACTCCGTGGCTGAAAGAGTTGACATCGACAAGGATGGAGAATCCATTGGTGAAGAAGATGAAAGAGCAAGCCCAAGGACAGGTTTGGGGGGTCGGTGTGAATTGGTGGTGTCACATTCCGGCCCAAGCCCCCACCACATCCCGGGCTCGACTCCATCGTAGCACAATATTGTCTACTTTGGGCCCCGACCACGCCCTCACGGTTTTGTTTCTGGGAACTCACACTAAAACTTCCCAGTGGGTCACCATCATGGGATTGCTCTCGAGCGACCTCGCTTAACTTCGGAGTTCTGATGGAACCCAAAGCCAATGAGCTCCCAAAAAGCCTCGTGCTAGGTATAGATGGAAATATATATATATGGCTTAAAAAATCCACTCCCTTAAGCGATGTGGGATGTTACAATCCACTCCCCTTAGAGGCTCGACGTCCTCATCGACACACATCCGGCCAGGGATTGGCTCTGATACCAAATTGTCACATCCCCGCCCGGGCTCGACTCCACTGTAACACGATATTGTCCGCTTTGGGCCCCGACCACGCCCTCACAGTTTTGTTTCTGGGAACTCACACGAGAACTTCCCAGTGGGTCACCCATCATGGGATTGCTTTCGCGCGAACTCGTTTAACTTCGGAGTTCCGATGGAACCCGAAGCTAGTGAGCTCCCAAAAGGGCTTGTGCTAAATAGAGATGAGAATATACATATAAGACTTAGAAGATCCACTCCTTTGGACGATGTGGGATGTTACAGGTGGTGCATGTTTCCACCACCATCTTTTTTGCTTCGGTCAAACAAGAAGAAGAGGAAATTTCCCTTCTTCTTTTTTTTTTTTGCGAAAGACGACAGGAATTTCCCAATAAAAATCAAGAATCCATTATGAAAATGTAATACCTTTTTAAGCTTTCTTCTCTCTTTATTTGGCTTTTTGTTGATGTTCATTTTCGCTTTCTTCTGCTACTTGTCTTCTCTTTTTTTTTTTGTCGATTTCTTCTCCGTGTGCTTCTCAATTTCTGCAACGTTTTCTTGTCATTCTTCTCTCCTCCGCTCTCCCTATGCCCTCACCTTTTTATAGACGCAAGGAGCAGTTTCATTAACTTCTTCCATTTTCTGTAATGTGTTCTACTTTCCCAGGGTGTGGGGAAGTTGAGGAAGGATATCACTTTACTGTGTTGAGAACGTTGGAGTTTAGGAGAGTTTTGGATAAACAAGAACTATATTTTTTAGTTTGTGGGCTGTTGAGTTTTTTTCTCTCTCCTTATATATAAGATATATATAATGTGAACCTTATTTCTAGTCGGTCCACGTTTTGGACTACTATTTTTTTTTTATAAAGTCTCCCCAAAAATGACCATTTTTGTCGCAAATGGTCACTTAAATTGACCTAATCAATTAACTTGGGCTCTGAATTTCAATATGATCAATTCAGTGCCTGAGTTTCATTGTCACACATCAATTTGGTTATTCCGTTAGAAATTTTGTTAAAAATTATACCATCGAGTTGATGCAGCACACATATAAGACTCACAAGTCCAACAAGCGCCACATATTATAAAAGAATTTAATTATTAAAAATCTCGAAATACTTACTCAGATTACCAATAGTTTCCTCTCTCTTCTCATGCCCGTCTTCACATTTATGAGATGTTGATAATGTTGAGCCATATATTTTTATAAAGAAAATATATTAGCAAGTTTTATAAAAGATACGATCGTTAGAAACCATTCTTTATTGAACGGATTTATTAAACAATATATCACGAAGTGCTATTTTCCGTTTCTTTATTAAAAGCAGAAACCATGTGATTATAGTATGTTTAAAATTAATCAACCATTTCTCATTAAACTATATATAATCATAAATCTTGCATGATCTCCGTTTCATGCCATCTTCTAATTCAATAGCCAAAAGATCCTCAAATCCTTCCGAACCAACTTTTTATTTTTTTTTTGCCAAAGGATAGATTTTATTAGATTCTATTAAATAAGTTTACATCCTCCTCACATGTATGTTGAAAAGAAGTTCAGATCCTATACAATCTCATATATGGTCATCACCAACCTTTGAGACGTAAGCTGTTACTTCATGCGCCGCACGATTGTTCATCCTGTGGGTAAAAGTAAAACCAAACTCGACAGAACTGGCAAGGGACCAAATATCATGAATAATTCCTTCTAAACCAACTAATTCACGGAGCCACATATTTTGCACAATATATTCAACCACATTAAGGATCAAATGTTTGGTTCATAACCATCCATATATGGTTCCAAGAGACTTTTATAGTATGAACGAAAACACACGTAACATTGTTTACAACGTAAGCAACTGCATAGCAAAAATCTTAGGTGACAAGGTGAATAACACACGTAAAGCACTTCTTGCCATTACCACATTTGTCCTCTCCTACTATCCAACCGAAAAACGACACGTCCATAACAAAAACCAAGCTTTCCTAAAATACATAAATCTACAAATTCTACTTTTAAAAAAAAGGCAAAAAATATCTCTCTTTCTCTCCGAACTTATAACGAGCTTATATATTAAACACCCAACAAAATATCCTAAAAGAAAAAAGGAAAAAAAAACCAATAAAACCAAATGGAGAAATACATAAGTGGAACCCTACATAGTTGGTTTGGTAGCAAGGCCAAACACATTCCTCAATGAACACTACTTCGTTGATGAAAGAATCGCAGTAGCTTCTGCAGAATTCCAATCACAAATGAACATATGCCCAAATAATTGAAATTAAAAATAATAATTGCACACGTGTCCATCTATGATTGAAGATTCAATAGCAGTTGCTACTATTCCTTCAGCAACTGTTGCTATTCCTTTAGCAGCTACTGCTATTTTTTCATCAACAAAGCAATGTTCTTGCTCAATTACGCAACGCCCATTGTTATGAGTTTCTTCTATACCGTCCTCAAATCCTCCCCAACCAACTAATTCACGAGTCACATATTTTGCACAATATTATTTAAACAAATTAAGGATGAAAAGTTTTGTAAATAACCATCCATATGGTTCCAAGATATTTGTCTAGTATTATGAAAACACACGTAACATTGTTTACATGGTAAGCAATTGCATAGCAAAACTCTTATCCAATAGGAAATCGACACGTCTATGAACAAAAAACTAGGTTTTCGTAACATACATAAAATCGAATAAGAAAATTGTTATTAGTATTCCAAAAATATCATTTTACAGTACAAACTTTCTCTAAGTAAAAAGAAAAATACACTTATAGAAAATGTAAAATAAAATTTGAAAGTACTACTAACCGTTCCCTCAAATAAAAGCCAAAAGGAGAAATACATAAGTGGAGCCTCCATAGTTGGTTTGGTAGGAAGGCCAAACTCATTCCTCAATTACGCAACCCCCCTTGTTTAAAGTATTTTTTTTATGACATCGCATAATTAGTTTGAAACACGCCCGAAACCAAACAAGAAACATAAATGTAGTGGGCACAAGAATTTTCATGGAATCCAAACACTCCTCAAATTTTTGGTAGCATTTCTCCTATTTCCATTTTCTCAGGAAACCCTACATAATAATCAGAAAGTATTTTTTATAACAATTAGCCAGAAAATTAAAAATTAAATAAAACAAATATAAAAATGAGTGAAGTTAACGCCAAGCGGAAGCGACGGTGAGAGTGCGGCTTATCCAACCAAAGCAAACCCCTCCATTCTCTTCCTTAACCGTGAACCCCGAGTTGACTCGGTTTTCCGATACGAGTCGATTTTTCAACGACTCGGTCATATTTGGGCCCATGGGCCTCAACTCGAACCCCGCCATCCCCATGCGGGCCCGCCACTTCCCAAACACTTCGCATCTTTCCACGCGATCCCTCCCCTCGCAAGCGACCGAGTTCACTATCTTCCGACTCAGCGCCTCCTCCGCCTTGACTCGCTCCGGGTTCTCCCTCGGAACCGTCGCCTCGATCGACTCCAGCAGCGCCCCGTAGTAGGCGCAGCACTCATTTACGCGCGCCATGAAGGGCGCGGTGTTGGTGTTCATCTCCTGCTCCACCAGCGTCACCACACGCGGCGCCAGCCCCTTCACGCGCCGCAGAAGCTCGTCGCGGGGGTTGTCCGTGGACACGCTCTCGTCCGGCATGCTGTACAGTTTAAAAGCGAAATTCACGGCGATCGGCTCGTCCGGTTCGCAACCCAGCGAGTCCCGGTTCAGCTCGCCGATTTTCTGGCTCACTACGTTGAATTCCAGACCGACCCCGAGTCGCTCGGCGGCATGACTCAGCTTCTGACGGACCATTCTCAGCCTCCCCTCCCCGCCATTATCCGCGACGGTGGTGATCTTCACGACGGCGGGCCTAACATTCTGACGCGTTGAGAGCGCTTGGAAAAGGAGCATGTACTGACCGCCATGCCCGATGTCGAAGTCAATCACATGAACCTTGTTGGTCGCTGATTGGTCCGTCAAGGTCGCTTCAAGGATTGCGAGGTTAGCAGCCATAAACCCGTGTTTGAAACACGGAGATAACTCGTAAAGCAACTGAATCGACCCGCTATGCTCCTGCCCAAAAAGCTCGTTCGCCGGCGGCGAATTATCAATCGGGTTGACCCGAGACTTCAAAGCTAAACCCAGGAACTCCAGAAGCCTTTGTTCTGAATTGGGTCTCGGATTCGGGACCTGTGTCGCCATCATCCGGGCGAGGATCTCCGCCGCAGCCTCGGATTTCCCTTCAGAAATGGCCGTCGCGGCCTCCATGAGCGACTGCTTGGAACAGGTGGAGGACGCCGGAGACGCCACGGAGGACGACGAAGATGAAGACGAAGTGGGCGACGGAGAAACGGGCTTCTGGCACTGACTCGGAGCTGCCGAACCCATCAGATTCTGTATCGTCTCGGACCACTCGCTGTTGCTTTTAGTAATGACAGAAACGGCGTCGCCTTCGTCGTCCTCGTCGTTATCGTCGAGTAGCTGCTTCTCCAGCTCTTGCAGCGTATTACTGATCATCTTCTTCTCGGAGTCCAAACCCCGGGTCTGAACTGGGTTGTTCTGAACCGGATTGTTGGGCACCAGATTGTTAACATACGACATCGCCGGCGGTGCTGTCTGGTTAATGGGCTGAGGGCGGAGCTGCTGAAGCAGAGGCAACCCGAACCGCTGATGGGATAAAATCGAGGAGGAAGACGAAGAGTCGGAGCCTGTAATTGCTGACCCAGATGAGAAGTCTGTCGGAGACAAAGGCGAAATCGGAGAAGAGTGCTGGAAAGTTCTGGGCTTTAGGGAGCGGAGATATAGATTTTGGCTAGGATTCTGGTGGTAGTTCTGGTGGGGGTTGTAGTGGTTCTGCTGGTGGGCCTGGAACTCCGCGAGCGTCCGCTTTCCGATGAGACCGGCTGCTGGGTTTTGGGTTTGGGGTTGAAATTGTGTTTGGCGAGCGATCTGGGACGCGGTAGGGTCCATAAACAGGCTGGGGAGCTGGGATCGGTGGTAGGGATTGTTCTGAGACGGGTTGTGGCCGTTCATGGCGGCGGAGATGGAGATGGATCGCCCGTTTGTGTAGAAATCAGGGACGCCACCGCCGCCTCCTCCGCCGTTGAAGCCTCCCGATTGCATTTTTTCCCCTCTGGGTTTCTGAGAGCGAGGAAGGGAAAAAGGCTAAAAGTGGTGGGTTATGAAGAAACGCATGGAAGGAGAAGAAGAGACAGTTTCTGTTTCTGTTTCTCTCTCTCTCTCTCTCTTATTATCGCCTTGAATTCATTTGTAATTGCGATGAAATTGATAACTCGGCCAGATTCCAAACTCTAGAGAGAGAAAGTGAGGAGAGAGAGAGAGAGTGGGCTTTTCCTTCTGGTTTTCGGTTTTCTGGGTGTCTGTTTTTCGTTTTTAAATCCGAAATTCCGAAACGCATCTACGCGAGTATGTACGCCACCGAATCCCACACCGTTGGATTTTTTCTTTTCGACCCCGATCGGTGACGATGAACGGTGCTCATTACGCGTAGGATACTCTTTCACGCACACCTCATGCTCTCCGTTTTGAATTTACAATCATCGGAGCCACACGAGACTGAAGGGAGCGTGGATGCACGTACCAATATGGAGCAGACAAAATATTCCTGCATGGAAAAGGAGTTCGAGGAGCGTGCACTCACATGCTGCCTGGTGAGGTGGGGGTTGTGTGTTTCGTTCTAGTGAATGTGATCATCTGACACGACAGTTACGAAATATTCCAAAAGGCCTCTACCAGAGCCCCGAAATACAAAAGATTTTTCAGTATGATCGGTTATTAAACAAATAGTAGAATATGTGTGCTAAAATATTAATAATTTAAAAAATAAATTTATCATCATTTTTATTAAAACACGCGGTGTATCACTTGTATTCCCGTCACAACTAAAAATTTCTTCTGAAATGCAATCCAGAACACCACGAAAACGACCCCCAACCACGTGTGGCGAATGGGGTTGAGCTGGGGGAGGTGAATTGTCTGCCCTCTCATTTTCATACTCTTCCTATTTTTTTATGTTTGTGTGATCACCGTTAAGTCACGTTAACATTTTATATTGATTTTTTTATAAAAATAATAAAATAAAAAGTAATAAGAATATAAAATGTTGACGTAGTTTAACCGTAATCACACAAAATAAGAAGAAATAGAAAAAGTATGAAAATGAGAGAAGAGACAAACGACCTCCTGTGAGCTGTGAGGCTGCTTTTAAGTGACGGGAGAATCCACGCTGTTTGCGATTTCGCGGATTCGAAATTCTAGTTGCTGGTTTGTCCTGACGGGCGGTTTCCCGGTTGACTCTCGGTGAGTTTACTGACACGAGGCGGTTGCTGTTGCGTTTAACCTGATTTTTGTCTACGTCGCAAACCCCCAACCAGTGGAATAATTTTAGCTCCGACATTATTAAAACTTTTAAATTAATAAAAACAGAATGATATATTGCTAAACAATTACAGCTACTCTAACTCACTTTTAAGCTTCAACATAAAGTCACAAAAGGTTATGTAACTGACAAACTAGTTGACTACCGGTTTGATTTCCGCATTTGAAGTTTTGAGTTCGATTTTTCTCTTATTGCTCGTAACGAAGTGTCTCAACGTGTTAGTTGTACAACTAGCATACTAGAATGAGACGGATGATAATTTCAAATACTAATAGTCAGTTAAGGTACGTTGTTAATGTCCAAAACTTATTTTAACATCTTAAGACTCGTT